AATCCATATTGAAGGCTGTAGTGTTTAACCTTCTACAGCAAGTGCTTCAAGTCCTTTTTAATTACAGCCAGCAAGGCTGTGTCATCCCCATAACGAAGGTTATTTATGAATCTTCCTCCAATCCTGTTGCCACATTTTTCTTCATAGAGTCTGTTTCTCAAATATTGTGCACAGCATACAGATTAAATAGGTATGGAGAAAGAATACAACCCTGATACACACATTTCTTAAAGCCACACATTTGTGACATTTCTGTTATAGTAGCAATTGCTAGTCACCTTATTAAAATCATCTTTGAATTACCCTTATTGCAATGTGCCATCTCTGTCCTTCTGAGAGCATAACTATAATTGAAACTTGTATATCTTAGTAATAAAGTAACACCTTAAATTTTTATTCAAAGTTTACTTATATTCCAAACAAAGACTCTTGTTTGATTCTCTAGCCCATAACAGATTTCCAAGTAACAAATCAAATGGAGAGAAGAAGGGCAATCATACGGACAATGAGAGACAAAGTCTTCCCTTTTCCTGCAGTCTTTACCTCTTGGGCTATGCTGATGTACTTAATTGTTGTTTTCTCAAACTATTGAATGAAAAAAGAAAAATAACATAAAAATACCATAATCTAGCAACAATTACTTTTGGAATAAATAGCTTTATAATTTTAATGTAGCCCTGAGTTCATCATTGTGCTTGGGCAGTCCGTATTTTTAATGATCACACAATCGTGACCAGTTACATTTAGAAGACCATTTGAGTAAATAAAAATTCTTACAGCTAGACCAATAAACAACATTATTATAGATGAAAGGAAAAAAATGGAAAGTGGTAAGGATTTTATCAACAGATAATGGTCATGGAAGCTGTAGGAACATAGAGATAGAGCATTGGGCAAATCTGCAAAAACATCCTTAAAATTTTGAAAAGTAAAGATGTCACTTGAATGCAAATCCTAACTTTTCTGCCTGAGTTTATAAATCCATTTAGGGAATAAGGTTTTGTTGTGTTAATAAACAAGAAAGCATAGGATACGTTTGAGTCTATCACCTGTGAAAGACGCTTTTATGAAAGATATTTCTGACCTTAGTCTTTTTGGTTGGCCCACATACATATGGACAGTGGAAAAAAGAACAAAGAATTTATATCTTTGAATTGTGTTAGCAAATAATATTGAATGTACATATCTTTTGGAAGCAGAATTGGCATCTATTTCCTAAACAACATGCCTCTGAAAACTCTGTGAACTTTGATAAATAACTATAGTTATAGAAAGGCTTCAGGCCTTTTATTCATAGGATCGCTATGAGTTGTCAACTCGACAGCAGTCATCACAACAGCAACAGTGTGCCTTTGAGCTGTAGTGCTGGAGAAGAATATTGAATATACTGTGGACTGTTAAGAGAACAAACAGGTTCGTCTTGCAGAGGGTAAAACCAGGTTGCTCCTTGGAGGCATGGATTCCAAAGCTCCATCTGACATACTTTGGGCATATTGCAAGGTGGGACCAGTCCTTGGAGAAGGACATTATGCTTAGGAGGGTGGAGGGATAGCGCAGGAGGAGAAGACCCTGGGTGAAATCGATTGACTCAGTGACTGGAGTAGTGGAGGTAGGTGTGTCAGAGATAGTGAGTTTGGCTCAGGATACAGCAGGGTGCAGAGCTGGTGTACATAGGGTCACTATAAGTTGCAGGCACCTCAATGGCACATAACAACAGTGTGCCTTTGCTCTGTTCACACAACAGTCTTTTGTTCTAGGTATAAGTTTTGCGTAAGTACAATTGAGTATTCTGGAATTCCCATTTGTCTTCGTGTTTGCTGTAATTTGTTATTATCCACAAAGTGAAATGTCTTTGCACAGTCAATGAAGGACAGATGGGCATTCTTCTGGTAGTCTTTCCTTTCAACCAGAACCTGTCTGACATCAACAGTGGTGCTGATCCCTAGTGCCGTAGCCTCTTCTGAATGTTTAGCCATTTATGAATAATCCTCAGCAGTATTTCACTTGCATGAGATAGTAACAATATTGTTCAAGAATTTCCACATTCTGTTGGATCACTTTTCTTGGGAATTGGAACAAACATGAATCTCTTCCAGTCAGTCAGTCAGGCAGCTGTCTTTCAGATTCCTGGCATGGACTGACTGGTGAGCACATCAAGGGCTGCCTCTGTCATTTGAAACTTTTCAATTGGTATCCCACTGATTCCTGGGGCTTTTTTTTTTAAGTTGAATGGGGACTCATTTTTTGCCAGTGTCTTCAGTGCAGCTTGAATTTCTCCCTTCATTACCAGTGGATCTTGATCATAAGTTACTTCCTAAAATCTTTCCGTGTCAGCCAATTCTTTTTGGTACAGTGACTCTGTGTATTCCCTCCATCTTCTTTTGATGCTTACTGAATCATACAAGATTTTGCCCATAACATCCCTAAGTATTGCAACCTGCGGCTTGAATTTGATTTTCAGTTCTTTCAGCTTGAAAAATACTGAGCATTTCCCCCTTTTTATTCTCCAATTTTGTCTCTGCATATTCCATTATAGTAGTTTGCTTGTCTTCTCAAGCTGCCCTTTGAAATCTTCTGTTCAGCCCTTTTGTTTCAGCATCTCTAACCTATGTTTTGGCTTCTCAATGCTCCAGTGCAATTTTCAGGGTCTCTTCTGATATCCAATTTAGGTTTTTTTCTCTTTCCTCTGTCTTTAGTGATCTTTTGCTCTCTTCATGGATGATATCCTTAATGTCCTCCCACAACTCATCTGGTCTTCGATCATTGATTGATGTTCAGTGCTTTGATCCTATTCTTAAGATGATTTTTAAATTCAGATGGAATAGACTTAAGATCTTATTTGTATTTTTGTGGACTTGTTTTTAATTTTCTTCCCCTTGAGTTTTAACTTGTACATGAATAATTGATGGTCTAGACCTTCCTCTAGAACTGCTATAGAGAGATACACACCCTTCCTTTAGAGCTGGTACTTCAGACTTAGACTTCTTATTGTCATGTGCTGTTGAGTCGCTTTCATCTCATGTTGTCGTTGTTGTTAGGTGCCGTTGAGTTGTAGATGACTCATAGCGACCCTATGAACGAAAGGCCTGAGCACTGTTCATACGTAGAGTTTCCGGAGGCAAGCCATTTCGGAAGTGGATGCCACTCCTGCTTCCAGGCTTGTTTTAGTCGGGTAGCTCCAGCCAATTTCCTGATTTCAACTAGCATGAGTCTGACATATTACTACTTCTGTGTTAACTATCCTCATTCCCTGTTCCAAACTTACAATTTAAGGGCATAGTTGTGTGGACAGTATACTTTGTATCTCTCTTAGCTGCACTGATAGGATGGGTAACCTTTCTTGGAAACTTAATGCTCTACTTTTTCTTGATGAATTTACCCTTTTCTGGACTTAGTTATTACTTTTAGTTCTCAGTTTGCGGCATACCCAAAGTTTACTGCTGATCAAGAACTCTCACATTAGGTATATTTTTGTAGTTTAGTTTGATAGTTCTTCATGGGAAAAATGGGGCATCACTAATTACTTGAGGGTCACCTGCCATCTTTAACTTATAAGGATGTTGACTCACAATAGTCTGATACACAGTCAAACCCTCTCTCCTGAGACCAAAGCATCTAGCACCAGGAAAGGCAGAAAATTCATCAAAGGCCTTTTAAAAATTATTAGAGCTGCTACAAGATCTCAGGAATCATCTTTTCTTGTTTCCTAATCCATTGTACCTAACCCCATTGAGGTGTGGTTGTCTAATGGTCAGAGGAAAGAGAAGAAGTCCATTTCCATCCTTGAAGGAGAGGGGACATTAAGGATATGAACAGTCTGCTGCCATGAGGATAAATGCTGAGGAAATAAGTGAAACACAAGCACTTTATTTGCCAGTGGTGGGCCAAATGAAAACTTTAAACGCAGCTTTGGTCCCAGTGCAGTTAGTGATGGACCTACATCAACATTGTCATATGGCTTTCTGTAATACTCTAGACCAGCTTCCCTACACATGCCTCTTCCGGGATCATGAAAATGTGAGGAACGCTACTGTTCAATTAAAATACTAGAACCATAACCAAAACTTAGCAGATTTAGATGCCTGCAAAGCCACAGAATGTAAGCCAAAGATCTTCATCTAGAAGAGAACTTAGGAGACCAACAAACACAGCAAGTTATCCAAGATATCTTCATTCCTAAAAATCAAGTCCCCAAGATGGAATTTTTTGATGAACATATGGAGCAGACTACCATGTTCAGTTATTGGAAATGTCAGAGCCTGTGGCACTCAAATGTTGGCAAATACTGATTATGGGCAAATAATGTTTTAGAAAGTCACTTCAAAATTCAGGACTAAAGCTCATCTTAATGTTCTCCTTGTCACTTGGAATTGAGATGACATATAGGGACTTAACATTTTATGATCTCTATCAGATCAACATTGTAAACCTAGTGGAGATAATGTAGTTCCAGACATTGTCTGGACCTTATATCAAGCTCCTGTATAATCAGGGAGCCTCTGTTATAGCCCAGTTTTGGAATGAAATGGGTCCTTCAAGGGAAGTTTCTTATTAGGTACAAGAGCAGTCTTAATTTTAAAATAAGCTTCATACATCCACTTATTCATAATGATGGCATTTTAAGTCTAGTTCAAAGAGAGCCCAAAGCCTAAGAGAACAAATTCAGATCACAGCTGCCATTCTCAAATTTCACTAGTGAGGAGGCAGATTGTCAAACTGAGCACTCTTACATGCCTGCCGGCCTGCCCCACACCAATGAAACTCTTAAAGCAGTAACATTGGAATTGTCAGAATTGTTGAAATTGTTTTTGAATCCCAACATCTGTCTTTTCATGTAATGTAAATTTCCCCTTAAACTGGCACATCTGTGAAAACAATGGAGAATCTTAGTATCAGTAGTCAGAAGGGACCAGGGGATAACTGCAGAACAATCATGCAAGTTCAAGTTGAAGCTGAAGAAAATTAGAACAAGTTTACAAGAGCCAAAATACATCCACTTGAATTTAGAGACCACCTCCAGAATAGATTTGCTATGATTGAAGGCTAGGTGAATTGTGGATGGTACTAAAGACATGATGGAAAGACATGAAGAAAGCCAAAGATCATTAGAAAAACCAACCACTGCTGGCACTTTGATTCTGGCTCACAGTGGTCCTCCAACAGGTTTCAGTGACTGGAAGTCTTTGCAGAAGGAGTCTGCTTATCTTTCTCCTGAGGAGCAGCTGGTGGGCTAGACCAATTGATGTTTCGATTAGCAGCCCAACCCACAGTGCACTTTGACAACCATGAACAGACCAAAATGATGTCAGAAGAGCTCTGAAACTTGCTTTTGAACATAGACTAGCTAAAGAAAAAGGAAGAAATGAAGTCAAAGTGCTGAACAAAAAGTTTCAAAAGGCACCCCAAGAAGGCAAAATGTTATAAAACAATGTCTAAAAAAAATGAAAGGTAATTGACATTTCTCAAGTTGAAAGAACTAAAAAAAAATTCAAGTTGTAATTATACAGGACTCTATGGGTAAGCTATTGAATTACATAGAAAGCATCAAAAGAAGAAGGATAGAATATACCATATATCCACTGTATCAAAAAGCATTAGTTTCCATTCAGTACGGCATGAGAACAAGAATCAATGGTATTGAAGGAAGAAGTCCAAGCTGTTCTGAAGGCACTGGCAAAAACAAGGCTCCTGGGATAGGTGTCATGGATTGAATTGTGTTCCCCCAAAATTCATGTATGTAATAATTTAATATAGAAGCTCTGTAGTGACCCTCCATTATCCAATAAACAAAATAGTTATAAAAGGATTTAGGATGGAGTGCAATGCTACTTAATACCATTACAATCCTAATCTGATGTAAGAGTTTTCTACTGTGTGATTTATAATACTGTTGACCTCATAAGAATTAAAAAAGAAGATAAGTCAAAAGTAGGGACCTCAGTATCACCAAGGAAGTTAGTTCTAATAGAAGTAGAATGAGCCCTTTTAGACCTAGACCCCTATGCTAGGAAACTCCTTGACACCAGAGAAGACCAAGACACATAGAGTCCCAAGGAGTTTCAGGCCTGTAGTTAATGAAGGAAATAAGGCGATTCCTCCAGAACTCCCACAGAGAGAGGGCCTTCCCCTAGAGCTGCCACCCTGAATATGGACTTGTAGCCTTCTAAACTGGAAGACAATAAGTTCTGTTTGTGAATGCCACTCAAATTGTGGTATCCCTTTTGTAACAGCACTAGATAATGAAGGAGATGGAATACCAATCCAAATGTTTCAATAAACAAATGCAACACTCATCTATGCAAGTACTCATCTATGTCAAGTGCTGACTTATCTATGCCAAGTGCTCACTATGCCTTCCTTTACTTCCAGCTACTTGGAAACTAACTGGAAAACTAACCCATGTCTGTGCTCATTCCAAAGAAAGGTGATTGAACAGAACATATAAATTATCAATATCATTAATATTACAAACAAGAGAATTTTAAAATAGTTACTGAAGTACAGCAACAGGGAAATCCCAGAAATTGGAGCAAGATTCAGAAGAGAAATGAAGAAGAAGAGAATTTGTTTTTTAGGGCAGATGAATTGGCTGAAAGCAGAGAATACTAGAATGATACTTACCTTTTTAAAAGAAAGATATTTACTATGCAGTACATAGAACTGAGTGGATCATAACAGGTTAGGGGTAATATTGTGACAAATGGGAATTCCAGAATGTTTAATTGTACGCCTGTGTATCAGTCAGCTGATCAGCCTTCCATACTTGTTGA